TTGAGGGGGAGGGAAAGGGGTGGGTTTCGAGGGTGGGGGAGGGGTTTTCGGAAGTGGGGGCCGATTTTCTGGCGGGATGGGCTGGGCGTTTTCCTGGATAGGGTGGGGGTTGGGTTGGATTTTATTTTTTATTATATCGGATTTAAAAACAATTAATTTTATTTTTTGGACCACTAAAATTCTGACAAGTGGTAATTTTTTTTTTTTTAAAAAATAGAGTTAACCTTCTTTTCAGGTAACCGGTCATCTGGGTTCTTTAAAAGAAGATGGGTATCAAAGTTGGGATTTTTACGGGATAATGCATAGTTGGGATTTTTCATTGTAAGCCGCCCAAAGTTGGGATTTATAAACTCAATTTATTTATTTATTTATTTATTTATTTATTTATTTATTTACACAGTGATTTACCATATAAGCTAATATGTTTTATCACACTTGGTGCTAAGAATTTAAAATAATGTAGACCAATATAGCACACAATTCACAATATATACTCTATAAAGCCGCACTAGGAGTTAATTCAAAAGTAATAGCAACCTCCTTATTCATGACAAGTGAAAAGCTAAAATTCTATGTATCACCGCTAGAGCCTACTCTAAAAATAATGGCACAGAGACAAAAATATCTGTGCAGGGTCAATACAAGATTTAAAAGACAAGATATTATAAATTTAGGACTACACTATAAGCTGTGAAGTATTGAGGGCTAAACAACAAATAGTTTTACTTCTTCTAACACATAAACTCCCATATTGTTACAATAAGATCATAAAATAGCATGATTATAATCTCTAGACTACCTATTAGTCAAATAATTAAGCATGTTATTGCTATAGCATAAATTTTAAAGTATGTCTACTATACTATTCAGCTCACTGCACATATCTAGTTTGACTATTTCAGCAACACCATCAAATGCAGCATCTATATTACATGCAATTAACCAAACATTGCGTTATTTACTCAACTATCAAACACATTACACTAATTTTTGCTAAAGAACATGCCCTTAGAGTTTGACCTAAGAAAGTCAAATGACAAAAGTCTATTAAAAGAAAATTTATTAGTAATTAAACAAATAAATTACCACCATTCGCCCATTCGTGAATGAGATGGGGATGGCGAGTGATGATCATTCACAAAATTAAAATCTTAATTAGCATAACCTTGGTCAACTTTGCTTGGTGGTGTACGTCCATGATCATTTGGAAACTTATTCAACCACAAAATAAAATTAAACTAGTTTAGAGATTTTCACAAAATTATACAAATATTAAAATAAGTTTTTTTTTTTTCATGTGTCATTGAAGTATTTAACCTAATCGTAAACATATTTTTGGGCCTCCTTTGGGCTTGAAATGTGAATGCAACACAGGCCCACCCATACCTAGTGCGAATTAATTCCACTTTGAAGGAGGGGCGGATGAGATTCGAACTTATGACCTTTGTGTCACGCTGGCTCCGATACCATATTAGTGGATCAACTCAACCAAAAGCTTAAGTTGATGGTTGAGGCCCAGAAATATGTTTTATACTAATTTTGTCTATCTTATTTTCAAGAAAATAGGTCACAAATTTACAAATCAAAATAGACTTTGCATAAAAAAAAAAAAAAACAAATCAAATAAATTATTAAATTTTTTATTTTTCTAAGATATTATTATTTCAATATAGAAATATAAAGATTGATTAAATTTGCATGCATAAGATATGCAATATATGCATTAATAACTATATTTAAAAGAATTTTTAGCAAAGGTAATCATCATAAATCTATAATATTTGTTTCAATACTTTAATTTAGTACATTGTTATTAATGATTCATAATTATACAAAGTATTTTTTAATTAATCATTTTTTTTGTACAGTAGATATTCCTATTACGTTAATACAAAAGATATGATCATGTAAATAATCAATCAATAACATAATAATAAAAACAGACACCAAAAATGACACATTTCACATCTTGGTGCTGTTTTTTTCCCTCCAAAACCACTTTTTTATTTTTATATTTTTATTCATCAAATCTTCATCAAATATACTTACCATATTCCATATTATTAAAATATAACCTTCCTATTTGTTCACTATATTTTTATCAAACACTAAAAAGGATTTACGCCATTTTCCTGTCAAAAAAATATCTAAAATTATCACCAAAATATTATTGCATACATCGCAAATATAAATTTTCAAATTAAATCTTCATATACACTCAAGTCAATAATTTATCTATAATAATTTTTAGTATTATTAATATGTAAATAATACTAAAGTAATTACCGCTGACATCATAACTATTCTTAGTGTAGTTTTTTCCCTCAAACACCTCTTCCCCCTTTTTGTTAAAACCATCCTTGAGAATTTAAGTATAATATAGCTATCTTAATATATTTCAAATATTTTATAATAAATATATCCCTTTATTGGCTTATAGATATTACTTTGTTGCCCATATCTTTTAATAATACAACAATAAATCATAACAAATATAATTGTGTATGCCTTATTTTTAATACATCTTATTTTATTCAAAATGATGAATCTATTAAATAATAGATTCGTATTGCACAAATTATAATTGTAATTATTACTCTGTATTATTATTTTTTGTTATTATAATTGATTTCTCGCCTATTTCAAATATGAATAACATTATAGACACTTTGGGCGTGTTCGGCGTTAGCTTTTAGGTAGCTTTTAGTGGTTTGACCAAGTCAAATCACTACTTAACAAAAAAAGGTGAGTGTTTGGCAAAGTAGTGGTTAAGGTAACTTTTAGTGGTGGAGGTAGCTTTTGTAAAAAGTTAGAAAGATTAGCTTTTGAAATTAGAGGTAGCTTTTCAGGTAACTGTTGAAAATTTAATCTATAGTTTTAAAAATAAAATATTGATTTTTATATGTAACAGCTAGTCAACCACTACTTTACCGAACACTCATATCTAAATTATTTATCTTCAAAGCTAACATCTTATTGACAGCTAACAACTACCTTCACAGCTACAACTATCTTCACAGTTATATTTTGCCGAACACGCCCTTAATCTATGCATATAATAGTCATGTAAGAAAATTTGATTAAAATATCATTTTTAATTTATTTATGGGACCATTGTCTCAATAGTCTTTCAACGTGGACTTCCATTACATGTGGATTTGTTTATGGGATAACACTTCCACACACTCACATATTATCATGCTAGTTTGTTGGGCCCATATTTTGCAAGCCCATTTCTAAAACGACAATCAAGAATGAACCTAGCTGCAATCTACAAGAATAAAGAATGGCAACAGAATATTCAACCAAGGCAACTTAAGGAAAACCAAACAAAATAAAGGAGATACACAATCAATCAAGATCAATTTGAATTATTTGATCGTCGTAATTTTTTGAACAATGTACAAAGTCCCTAAGATCTCATATGTATAATAGGCTAATACATGTTACATGTAAGATAAACTTTTTAAAACAATCGAGTGTACAATAATTATTGTACATCCATTATAAAGATAGGTTAAAGTGATCAAGAGTTACCCCTAAAATGAATAAAAGTTACTCCAATATGTATAAAAGTAACCCAATACAAATAAAAATTATCTACGCTTTATTAGTAAAGAATCACATTTTAAATGACTAAAAATCAATTATTATTGATTGAACGTAATTAAATTACCATTGTAAAACTTTTCTTGTTGTCTATTTATATAAAAATCGTATTATGTTTAAAGTTACCCAAAAAAAGGCAAAAAGTTTCCCTAAAATTAGGTAAAAGTTACCCTTGTACCGCTCGATATACAATAGTACTAGTGTAAACCGGGTGTATACAAAAGTTTTCCTACATGTAATAGCTTAGCTTCATTCATTCACGCATACAATCACTTATATTCTACTGTATTTTCAATAGAGATCGGTCATTTCTCAGTTTAGTTATGTAAATATATAATCAGATTTGTCCCTTATTGTCTTTGATTTTATCCATTTAATTACTCGTTTATTATTGATCTTAGCATATTATGTCGCGTTAATTGGTTTGTTGTTGAAGTTGCATTTTAATCGTTTTTGGAGATTTGATTATTATATATGTTGGAATTTCTTGATGAAAACAAAGAAAAAAAGTGGTATAAGAGTGAGGTAAATGTCCCACATTAAAGAAAGTGAGTGATCTCCCTTAGCTTGTTTCAATATTGTAGTGCCTTTCCCTCAAAAAAAATTTTAAAAAAGAAAATAAATAAATTTGTAGTGCCTTAAACCTGCTTTGTGTATAATTTATGGTGCAATAGACAATGGTCCATAGCAAAAAGGAATAATGACTATTTGCGAGCATTATTTATGAAAAAAGGCAAGGTTTTTTATAATTAAAAATTAATTAAAATTATAAAAAAAATTGTATTATGAAATTTTATATTGATACCAATCAAATAATTTTTTTTTTATGATAAAATAAATTTTTATTATGTTAGTAAAATATTAAAGTCAAAGTTAATACTACGTATATGAGTAGTGAAAAAAGTGGAATATATCACTTATGATGAGATGTAGGGAGTGTTAATTAAGATTTGAACCTAAATTTGCAAGTTAATAGACGGTGTATGATAATAATAGGTGGCATAAATAGCGTTTCTTCCCATAGTTAATTAGAGGAGAGAAATAAGAAAAATCAAGCATATCAATATTTGACTTATCAACGGCTTTGTCAAAAAAAGACTTATCAAAAAAACCCATTTTCAATTCTTCAACGGAAAAACAAGTCAGAGGGCATTTGTGTCAATATAACGATGACAACATTTTGTACCTTGTACGGATATTTTTATCTTCGGACATGATATTGAAGAAATTGTCAGCAAATTATTTCACTCGTTTTTCTTACTTCACTATGTTTTTTTCCTTTACAATAATTTAGTTCAATTTCTCTTCACTATTTCATTGTTTGCTTCACTCGTTTTCTTCTCTACACTTCACTCTTGTTTACTTCATTTCTCTTTCTTTCTTTGTCAAAAATGGCGGAGGCAATCATATTACCGATTGCCAAATCTATACTTAAGAAGATCGGTTCTTTTACCGGTGATGTTGTCATTTCCTCTGTTTCCAAAGAATTAAAAGCGGCCAAGTCAGCTAAGAAAGATATCAATAAGATAGCCGATAAGCTCACTGCTATTTGTGCTGTCCTCCATGATGCTGAAAACAAGCAATACTCGAACGAAGCCATGAAAGTTTGGCTAAGAGATCTCAAGCGTGTTGTTTATGATATTGATGATCTCTTGGATGAAGTCGCCTTTGACGCTTTACAACGCCGTGTCAATAAAGGTCGTTTTCGCCGCAAGCTTAGGTACTATCTTTCCTCCTCAAACCCCTTCATTTTTTCTTTTCATGTGAGTCACAAATTACGAGAACTCCGTCAACAGCTAGAACACATTGTGGCTAAGAAAAATGATTTTGGTTTGACTGAGAATCCGGTTGACTACTCAACCGCCGACATCAGGGATCCTTTTGATAGAAGCTCATATGTCCATGTACCTGATGTTGTTGGAAGAGATGAGGCTAAGCAAGATGTTATAAAAAGATTGGGTAGTGTCAGTGATGTTAGTGAGCTCTTTGTGCTTCCTATTGCTGGGATGGGTGGGATCGGAAAAACTACATTAGCTAAGTTGGTGTATCATGATGTCCAACACTTTGATCTTAAGTTGTGGGTATGTGTTTCAGACACGTTTCACATACCCAAGATCATAGAGGACACTTTGAAGGATGGTACCGGTGATAGTACTCCAAACCAAGATATGAGTATATTGGTGAAAAAGCTCCATAGTTTGTTGAGAAGGAAGAAATACTTGCTAGTGTTGGATGATGTCTGGGTCGAGGATTTTGCAAGTTGGAAAGAGCTTAAGGATGTGCTAGTTGTTGGTAATTCGGGGAGTGTACTTTTGATCACTACAAGAAACTCCAAGGTTGCTTCTATCACTCAAACATTTGAATCGTCTTATGATTTGGACAGTCTTCCAATGGAAGTTTGCTGGTCAATGTTCAAGCACCTTGCATTCAAAGATGGCGAGGAAGGCAAATATCCGAGACTTTGTGAAATTGGCAGGTCTATTGTTAAAAAATGCCATGGCATCCCACTTGTTGTGAAGACTTTGGGGAGTGTATTAAGAAGTGTGAGGGACGAACAGGAATGGCAACGAATTAACGATATGGAAAGTTTTACAAAATTGAAGCAACATTATGGTAATGTTTTACCACTACTAAAATTAAGTTATGATAAATTACCATCTCACTTAAAACCATGTTTTGCTCACTTGTCCTGTCCTTGTATGTGAAAGATCATAAATTATATTCAAATTTTGTACCATCGATTTGGTTATAGAATGAAACATGTAAGCATGTCCTTTCTAGAGGGTATTATATCCAATCTCAGCTGCTTACGCATCTTGGATCTTGAGGGTCTTTGGTTTGAAGAGCTGCCAAAGTCGATCGGGAACTTGAAGCATTTGAGATATCTTGACTTGTCATTCAATCCCATCATGAAATCACTTCCAAATACAATTTGCAATCTATTGAATTTGGAAACTTTTAATATCAATGGATGTGAGCAATTAAAAGAGCTACCAAGGGATTTATTTTAATTTTTAAATTTTTTTACTTAATTATTTCTATTATACCTAAATATTACTAACAACTAAGGTAATTGGGGAAGAATTATAAATCATGATTTTCATTAGTTCTAAGAGTATACTCTGTAACTATGATGTGTTGTTGACGTTTTTGCAATTATTTGTTTTACAGATTTTGGGACGACTTTTTTTTTGCTATTGGAGAAAGTATTAGTCTGATTGTTAATGGCTCATATCTATTTGAATACTCAAGGCCTTAAGGGCATATATATATATACGTCTAAGTCGTTCTTTTGTATGATATAATGATTGATGCTATGTATCTATCCTTTAAATGCTTTATAGGAGTTATATGGTTTTACCTTACTCTTAAAGTGAGGGTTTTACATGTAACAAACTTTTTTTTTTCATTGTACGTTGTTTATTTGATTGTGGCTGGCCACACGGTGTGGTCAGCCACATATGAAACTTTGTGTTGTTTATTTGATTGTACTTTTAAAAATGTTTGAGTTATTGTGTTAAAATATCATTGTACTGCATAATTTTAGTTATAGCCAATTAAAATAAAGAAGAGATTTATAAATTCGTTTAGAACTTTTCAAATACCACTTAGGCAAAATTAACGAATAATATTTTAAAGCTTCAATTAATTAAATATAAATATTATCTCTTAAGATTAATAATTTTATCTAAATATTATATAACAAATGAGAGGAAATTCACCAAATACATATATATATATATATATATATATATATATATGGGAGGGATCCGGTAAGAACCCCTCTTTATATTAGAACCTTTTCTTATGTAAGAACACCTTATGTTCAAAACTTTTTTCTGTTTATATTCTAAAGTTTTTCGTATATTCTAAACTTTTTTCAATGTTCTAAATTGTTTTTTAAGATAATGTTCTAAATTTGTTCCTATGTTCTAAATTATTTTTTTCAACTTATGTTCTAAATTTTTTATTATGTTCTAAATTATTTTTTAGCTTATGTTCTAAAGTTTTTCTTGTATTCTAAATTTTTTTCTACTGATGTTCCAAATTATTTTCAATGTTCTAAATTGTTTTATAGATTATTACTAAATTTGTTCCTACGTTCTTAATTATTTTTTCAGCTACTGTTCTAAATTTTTTCCTATATTGTAAATTATTTTTTCAGCTTATGTTATTAATGTTTATTTATCCTATAAATTAATTTTTTCAACTTATGTTCTAAATTATTTTTCTTATGTTCTAACATTTTTGGTTGCTTATGTTCTAAATTTTTGCTATCTTCTAAATTATTTTTCTTATGATCTATAATTTTCTGCTTGTGTTCTAAATTTTTTCTGCTTATGTTCTAAAATTTTACCAATGTTCTAAATTTTTTTCTATGTTCTAAATACGAACTTCTCAAAATTACAGATATGCTGAGATTGGTTCTTATATAAGATTGGGTTCTTATATAGAGGAGGGTTCTTACATGAGCCTTCCTATAAATTTTTTTTGGTGTGAATTATTGAAGGTGGATAATTTGATGGTGCAATATATAGACAATGGTCCATCGTAAAAAGGAATAACTTTTTTTTTTTTTTTGTGCACAGGAATAACTTGGTTTTCAATAATTGATTTAATGTTATGAAATATACATTAATGTATGTTCATTATACTTTTGTAACCTATTAAGCTTTATTATTTCCTCATAATGGTTACTTCTTAGTGTCACTAGGAAGTTACAATGATCTCATGTATATATATATGTTGTATGGAAAATGGAATGGACAATGTATATTTGCTATACATCTTCGTCATTTATTCTTTCTTTTCCTCTAATTTATAGCACGTTATCAACACCAACCCTAATCGACTGAGTATGCAAATGTTAAAGGAATATGATATTACTGATATTGAGGTAAGTATCATCGTTAGGCATCATGACCCTTGTATATGTTGGACATACATATGATGGTTGTGTAATTTAAAAGTTGGAGTTAAGAGTACAAGTAGGTACTCAATTCTTCCTTTTTTCACCTTTTAGGTACTCAATTTTTTTTGCTTTGCTTTTGGGTACTCAAAGTGATTTTCAGGTGAACTAACTCACCACTAACTCATCACTAACCATACCTAATTAAAAAATTAATATTTAAAAAAAAATCTTAACTTTGACTCATAAATTAGTCGTTATTACTCTATTTAAAGGGGCATGAACTTGGCCAAAAAATGCCATGAAAACACCTGCAAAACACTAGCACCACACCATTTTTTCTTAACAAAATTCATCCAAAACGATTTTCCCTGATTCAATTTCAATAAAAAAAATAAAAAAAAAACAAAAAACAAAAACAGCAACGCAGAAGCTGAGCAGTACATACACTAGCAACAAATATCATCAAAACAGGTTCATTCACCATGTCTATTTAGGCACAAATTCTTTAACAAGGTTTTCCCAGATTTTTTAGAAATTAAAAAAAAAATAAAAAAAAACAGAAACAGAAGCTGCTACTAGGTTCTTCCCCTGCTGCTGTTAGGTTAAAGTGATATAATGACGTCATAGTTGGGTTTAATGGGGGTTTGGTAGTAATCGTAACATTTTAAAATTTTTTGCGGTAGTAATTCATAACTTTTTTAATTTGCGTTAGTAATTTACAAAGTAGTATTAACTTGTGGTAGTAATTGGCAAATTTTCCAATTTTTTATACTGAAATTGTTAAGTTCTCTAGGTTATATTTATTTTTTACTAAAATAAAATAAAATTTTTGACAAATAATTTTTAATTTTAATGCAATAGTAAAATAAAATTTTACATTTTAGCTACAAAAAAGAGGAATTACATAAATTAATTAAAAGGAGTATTCTCACCATATTTTTTTTTGGTAAATATGGAGAATTTTATTACCAAAATGGTAAGTTACAACTTACAAAAGCTAAGACGTAACAAACACCAAACCCCACAACCCCCACCTAGACTCAGCTGCAAAAGCAACAGAACTAGACAAAAGAGGGAAAACACCAACTCAAGAAACAACCAAGCAAAACACCTGAACAAAATAAACCAAAAACTGACTAAAATCAGCAGTAACAGCAGACCAAAACCAGCAGCAGCAGGCCAGAAAACAGCAACAGCGGCAGCCAGGAACAACAACAACAGAACAAAGCAGCAGCACCAGCATCTGACAGTATGACAGCAGACCAGAACAGCTGCCAGTATTGCCTGCATACCAAGAGCAACCCAAACCACCAGCTGCCACCCTAAACCACCTGCAGCAGATCTGAAACAGCAAGATAGCACTGCAACAGCAACAGAACAGCAACAGCAACAGAACAGCAACAACAACAAAGCAGCAACAACAACCCAAAACAGCAACCAGCTGCCAGAAACCAACAAAACCAGGCTGCTGAAGACTGCAGGCAGCACAAAAGCAAAGAACTGACCAGGAACCAGCTGCCACCCAACCAGAACAGCACCAGAAAACAGCAGACAATTGCAGCACCAGAAATTCAGTGAAGCAAAAGCAGATTTCTGTCTGTTCCTTTACATCTAATAGCAACATGAAAAATAATGTCTTTAAAAACAGTTTCTGCAGGTTTACAGTCACCTGTAAACATCAAACTATTCCTTTGCAGCCATATACTGTGGATAGCCTCAGCAAAACACATAGAGTATACTCTACCCTTGCTGCTAGACTTCCTGCAATTCTTAACTATCCATTGTTGTTCAATGTGAAAAGGTTGAACTGCTTTTTTCACATTAAGAAGCTTCAAAATCTGTTCCCAAATAGTCTTAGAGTAAGGACAGCAGAAGAACAGGTGAGAGACAGTTTCACAAGAGTTCTGGCAGAAAAAACAAATAGGATCACAACTTGCATTCCACTTAACAATTTTGTCCTTAGTGGCAAGTTTGTCAAGCAGAGCTAACCAAGTAATGAAAATACTCTTAGGAGCGGCTTGGTTATTGCAAACTATTCTTTTCCACCCTACTTTAGGAGCCTGTGGTCGAATCCGGGCATAAAGTTTAGCAATACTCATTTTCCCATTTTCCATAATAGAGGACCAGCCACCAATATCATCAATAATATCTCTGCAAGTCAAGATTTTCTTCAAAACCCAAGAGCATTTCTTGGGCATAGTAGCAGTCCAAATATTCCTATTGCTGAAATAATAGGTATGCACCCATTTCACCGACATATTGTCAGATTTGTGAGCAAGATCCCAAAGAACCTTGCAAATAGCAGCTTTATTCCAATCACCAAGAGAGGTAATATTCCAGCCACCACAAACCTTAGGAAGAGTCATATGATGCCAGGAGACAGGGGCCTTTTTTGCATAAGTGTTCTTCCCAGTCCAAAGACAAATCCTGAACTTAGTTTCAATTTCCCTAAGAATCTTCTTAGGAAGAATGAAAATCTGAGCCCAATAAGCCTGAATACCAAAGAGAACACTTTTGATAAGCTGTAACCTGCCAGCATAAGATAAGTGTCTAGAAGTCCAGCATCCAATCTAGCAGTAACCCTTTCAACCAAAGGCCTACACTGAGCAACAGTAAGCTTTTTAAAAGACAAGGGCACCCCAAGATATCTAAAAGGCAAACTACCTTTACTCATACCAAGAACAGTTTGCAACTGATCTTTATCAGAATCAGAGATACCTCCAAAATAAACCTCACTCTTACTTAAATTAGCCATCAGACCAGAAGCACAAGAGAATTTCTGGAAAGCCTGCA